GGGCTTGTGTGAGCATCTTCTGACAACACAGCACTGGATTCGCTAGCCGGATAGCCACCGCTACGGCTGTTGCAAGCACCCGTTGGCGAAGACCATTGGAAAAGTTAGCTTGTGTCCGGTAGACGACCGGAAAGGCTTCCTTAATATCGACTCGATGATTCATATCGACAAGATGTGCGAGAAAATAACTCGAGATCAATCTAGTTTCACCCTCACTTAACCAGGTCGGTATGTGCTCACGTACCCACTTTTCCAAGCGCTTCGTTGCTCGGCCAATGTATCCTGCTCCACAGGAGCAAGTGAAAGAGTAAATGCACATGAATGTGGCCTTCAACGGGAGTCTGTTTTTACCTCCCAATCATAGGAGGGCGGAGTTCGTGAAGCACACCCGTAATTTCGCCGCGGGGAAAGCGCTTGCGGTTCTTTATGTATTTATGTAGTGACTGAATCGTTTTTGTGCATTTTATGAGGTCAGAATTTGTCTCATGGCAACCTTCTATATGCGCAGTCACTGTGTACTTCCTCGAACGGACCCAGCGTCAACTGCTGAAGCAGAATTGTGGTACAAGTGTCATTGTCCAAAACCTGTAAATATTCAGACAGGGCTTTAAAATTCCTTAGCAGATGCCGGCCGAAGAAAATGATTGTCTTATCTAACAGAGGCAAATATGTGCGGATTATTCGAATAAAAATTGCTGTGCAGTAAAGCTTACTCAGTCACTGAGTAATTACCAGTTCTTCTGCCAGTGTTCAGTGGACTTCAAACATGTTCTGGCTTGACGCGGATGGGCATATCAAGCAAGCAACTCAGCCTTTAACTCTCCATTTAATTTTATCGCAACATGGGCCGCTGAGGTACAGTAAACCAATAAGTTGCACTGCTACTCTGATGAATGCTAGTATGCCGTTTTACACTAAACCTCCTTCGTAATTTTTTTCACCTACTGTTTTTTGATGCTTTTAAGCAAGCCCTGAAGAAGGTGTGGGCGATGGCCTGGTTAATTAAGGTTTAGAGTTTGCTTTGCCCCAACGTCCTTTTCAAGAGAAATGGTTAACCGTATGGGTTTTCGTGATGCTGTGAAATATGTGAGCTTGTTTGAAAAACGTGTTTTGGTGAGGATAGTTTAAGGCCATCACCACGGCAACCACCTCCTCCATCCTGTAATACGGGACTGGTGGAAGTAGAGGTTTTACGGATGAGGCATATCAGCGCGCAGTACGGGCTATTAAAAATTTTGCAAACAAAAGTAGAAAATTGTAAAAAACATCATAATAATATGCACCTAACAAGCGCGCGGTAATTGAAAAATAAACAGAAAAGCGATTTACGACAATTCGGATTGGAATTGAATCCAAATTAAATTCGAAACTTCAACGAGTCGAATGCGAAACAAATAGGACTTTTTTCACATTTGTCAAGTGCTAATTGGATCCGAAAATGTGAATCTCATTTTCATCTTATTCCCTTAGGAATCACCTATTTCTAACCATTGTATTGTAGTAACGTTTAAAAGACTGCTACTCCTATTTATAATTTATTATGACTATAAAAGCGATAAAAACTTCACCATACACTGATAGAAAAATCTTTTTTTATTTATGTACATTTGTGTACATTTATGTCTTTCGGTCACGAAAGATCTCCGTGGGCAGCGCAATGTGATATGTGGTTGGATTGTGTTCAACGTTTGCCGTGAGTAAAACAGCCGACGCCAAAGCAATAAATCAAAATGTGCTTACTACTGCGAAATAAGTAGGCACTTACGCAGCGTAAACAAGAGTACAGTGATGACCTTGAGCCATCCTTATTCGGGCTTTTATTGGACGTGTTTCTGGCTACCCTGGTGGGTTATTAAGTAGAAGGTTGTAATACTATTTTCTTAACTACATCCTTGGATTCTAACTTTGCATAAATTGGCAGACGCCTAAGTCCCTACATATAACCTATTGTTAATTGACTTGGCTGAAAATGGAATTGTTTTTGGTGAACTTCGTTTTAAGGTCATACCTTACACTGAAGAGGCTTTCGTGAATGGAACTTCCACGAATGCAGCATCCACGGCTGCCGCGAACATGTGCCTTGCCTTCTGGATGGTCATATTTTGCAGCTACATCGCCAGTTTCAAACGCAGCCAATATCTTCGACGAACGGCACGTGCGCCTCTTTTGCTTAAACTTCTTTTCTCACTGCGAAGGTGAGTGCTATATAGTAGGCGCGCCATAGCTTCAAGGTAGTTCAGTCAACCCAGGCCGTCGAAATTTGAATGCACTTCTTTCTTTTTGCCCAGAAAAATCACGCTGGAGCATCCTGACTGCATCAGTAGTTCTATTATTTTTTCCTGCTGCTGATAAATCCAACAACATTTCACAGAAAATTCGCACCGAAGTAAACGTCCTCGTACTCATTTTTTAGGACGTGATGTCTTTTTTTCATTCTGTACCCAACGACCTAGATTATTTTCTGTCAAACAAGATTTCAGTGACGAATATTTCGAAAATCATAAAATCTATCCAGGTAACATTATACTCAACCACTTACCAATACATCATGGAGGGGATGGTGTTAGTGAAAAGACTGACTCCACCTCGTCTCATGGTGTTGTGATGACGTACCTTTCTCGCTGCGGACCGGGCCATGTCTCTTGGTCACTTGAAAGTAGTGTGTCTTTGAGGGCTCCTCCAGAAGGTAAAATGCATTGTAATGCTCCGGAGGAAAGAGTGCGAAAACTGCGGCCTCTGTGGAACAAACTGACAGGGAATGGATAGAAGAAGAAGAAGCGATTGCCGGAACAGGAGTTTTATTGTCCTGACTTTTCGGATTCCATCGGGAATCCCTAATCATAGGTAATCGTAGAAGAGTCTGAGAGATGTGCAACGGAACGCATTACTGCAGAGTTCAGCGTGGATGTCGACCGTCGTCCGACAGCCACCATGAGCACTCGAATTATGTAGATAAAGGAACAATTGGACGCATGTGAACAGACCGGGTTTATTGATGACATAACAGGTCCTGAGTGTTCTCGCCATTGTACAGGGCAAGAGGCGCAGACCAGCTACCGGAAAGGACGCACGTGTTCACGACACGTGTTCATCACACCGTGAGACGGCATAGACTCAGCCTTAGTGCAAATACCACCTCATCCACTCCTACCATCCATTTTTATTTTACTACAAAACCTGTTTATTTGTTCTGTCATACTCATAGTCTCTGTTGACTTATTGTTTTACGACTGCGAAATCTGAGGTTTATGTACCCACTATCCTAGTGAGCACTTGTCCTCCTGTTCAAACCAAGAACCCGGGCCTCGCATATTCACTGGCATTCGGTTAATATCATGTCTTACAATAGGACTGGTATTCAAAGGAAATATAACAGAAAAAAAGATCTTAATTGTCGCCTATAGAATCGCACCAAACTGTCTCGATAAACCTTATTTGAAAAGGGAAGGAATACTGAGGAAACTGATGAATAGGGCTCATTATGAATTGCCACATAGCTTCATCTGCCGTTGGCAGTCGATCAGAAGCTGTCAGGGGGTAGCGAATTCCACCTAAGGAGCAATATCGCTTAACAACATAAGAGTTTGGTTCCGAGAGTGCAAAGAAAGAAGCAATCTCTATTAAGCCTCTTCCTGAGTTCAGTCGGATATCATCACCTTCAACATGGCATGGCCCACTTTACCTGCAATGAGACTGCTTAGCTTATGAGCCATTCTAACACCAGACACACAGTCATCCGGGCAAAAGAGAGAGCTTGTCGGGCATCAGAACAGTTTGGTTATTGTCCTGAACTTTCAAACTTGTTCAAGAGTTCATAATCAGAGATAACCACAGCAGCAAAAAATTAGCAATTATAAGGGGGTATAAACCACTCAATTGTTACTGACGCACGTCTGAGCATGAATGCGTAGGGCTCTCTATACTGGCACCAAATCGATATATCCACTGATTGTGTGCCCATCCGTTAGCTATATTTCAATTTATTCTTGGCTCGCCTTGTTTCCAGTGTGGGTGAGTTTCCTGACGGCTGAGCAGTTGAAATCATGGTCCTTTTCATAGGTGCGAGCAACAACTTGCGATAATTCGTCGCCCTGCCGTACAGCCGGCTTATGTTCATGTATGCGCGATACGAGCATGCGTTCAGTTTGACCTGTGTAGTTACGAGGACAACTTAGGCATGTCATGCGACTCACTGCCCCAGATGGCTTGTTGGGATTAAGCCGGCCTTTGTGCACTTATCTCCTGTACGAGTTTGAAAGCTCAGGTCAATAGAAAAATTGGTCTGATGCTCGGCCAGCCAATCTACTTTACACATGCAAACACCCGGAATGCGAACTTCCTCATCCAATCGTTAACATTCATTTGACTGTAGAATTAAGGAGAATCTTAGTCATAATAATCTTTTTAGGATTGAATCTTTCCCTCCCTCCCCCATCAGACCAGCGGCAGCGCACCAGACGTAAGACGTAACCATCATGTTGCTTCAACTATCCTGCTCAGGGCCAATAATAGTTGGGCTGAGAGCTGAAGTGGTAGAAAGCCCATTCACAACCGATCTAGATTGTGCGTCCAGATTATTTCATCTAAGAAGTCAGAACTAGCTGTTTTGGGCTTCATTCCCTTTATAAGTAATATGTCTCCATTGACTTATGTCCCATAATCATGCCTCGCGTAGTCGGTCGGCTTCTTGCTTCTATAGGAAAGAAATCTGACTCCTCAAGCCGAATGAGTAATCTATCAATACCTTTTATTCTTAAAGGCACGTTACTGGGTTGGAGCTTTCAATGTACCCCTGGGAATGCTGTTTGTGACTGTCATGGAGCGCATCTTCTTCCGCAGCTACCACCTGCCCACGCTAAATATACCCAAATTCAATGAAATATCAGTCTCCTCGTGGATACGCGTTATGAACATGTCTACAATCACCGATTTCGGCACCATGTCAGGTCCAAGCTTCCACTGTCTTTCGGCCGGCATCGGACTCTTCTTCACGCTGCTAATTTTTTGCGAAACAATGCTTAACAGGTTGGTTACCTCCCAACGTGGCCTTAAGGCATTGTCTTTCATATTGTTTTGTTAGTACTCTCAGCAATGGAAGCATCAGAATGACGATTTCCTATTTAAGCTGTGAAGAGCGAGTTAGGCTCTAGGCAAGTATAATCGGACTGCTTTTAGTCAGCTCTGGCTTTGAGAGGCGCGAAAGGTTTTACTGTGAATCTCTTGTCTGGGCTATAATTCGCGGCTTACGTTTCAAAGGAGACAAGGACCGAAAAGTTGGGTGGATTAAACTTAGCCACCCAGTTTACATTAACAGTCTAGGCCATTTGCTTTGAGGCGATTCGCATCCTGCCTGTCCGTCTGCTAAGTCACCGTATGCATAGGATACAGCCGCTATGCTACTGAATACTCATGACAATTAACGGCCCCCTATCGACGATAATTTACCACTTGTGCGCTAATTGCAAGAGGTGACAACCACGTGAGCCGTAAGCTGCTTGAGTCCTTGTTCTCCCCTCCGCAGGCAAGTAACAATCGCAATGACTTGCCGTCCCCGTATTCCTTACTGAAACGTTGCTTACGCAGGGGAATCAGCCCCATGGGGAGGGCGCCGGTCAGCAACAAGTTTGATGACAGTGGGTCTAATCTTCGCGTAATTGTCAAGCCATCATCCAACACGGATGATGATGATCTCGCGGCAGTTAATGACTCAGAATCGGACTG